CGAAGTTAAGATGACACGTGAAGCTTATACAGTGCTGAAAAACGGACACGTCCTAGGCTACCGTGAATTATTTGACAGAAAAGAACTAGTGGTGGGGATCCTTATACACAAGATCATTGCTGGCAACATAGAGGAATACTATAGCATTCCGTGAGAGGGTGGCAAGTATCATAATTAAGTTTCGGAAAAGGTCCAAGATGATCGTAATGTACAGACCTACGCGCCTATATCGAGCCATGATGATAAGTTGGTTGAACGCTTCTATGAAGACGTATATATATAGTCAGCCAATAATAAAGTAAGTCACAGTATACTATTCTGATAGGCGATTTTAACGCCAAAGTTGGAACGAAACAGGCCAGAGACAATGAAGTGGGGTAATATGGCATCAGCTGTAGAAATGCCACAGAGGAGTTATAAGTAGAGTTCGCCGAACGTAATATCTTAAGGGTCTTGAACATCTTCTTCAGAAAACGAGCTAACCGTAAAGGATGTGGTGAAGTCCTGATGGCGAAACTAAAAATAAGACAGACTTCATTCTGTGTGCACACCCAGGTGCTGTACAGGATGTGGAAGTATTGGCAAGATCTGATGCAGTGATCAGAAAATGGTAACAGTTCGTATTCTCCTACGTTTAAAAAAAGCAAAGACCAAAACTTCATGCTACACAAGAATCCAAGGAATGAACTAGCAGTGAGAGCGAAGGCACGGCAATTAGGAGTTTCGCTTCAGAATATATTCAAGCCACTAAACGAGGTAACTGATGTAACAGTGACGCAATAAAGCTTAATCTTACTAGTATCATCATAGACTGTACATTGACAAAGTGCTTGATTGGGCCGGTTGGTGCTGCATGGTACATGAAGAAGGCGCTTAACAGCGCAAACGACAGGAGGGGATAAAAGACACGAAAACAGAGCGCGGAATTCTATCCCCTTTTGTCGTTTGAGCTGTTAAGCACCTTCTTCGTCTACCAAGAGTGTACAATGGAAGTCAAAGGTACAGTGACTGAACAGGACACTGGGAAATTATCTCAGGAGACGAACGATCTTGTCAAGAGATGACAGACCCTGAAAGCCTCAAACGTTACCGACAAAATTGAGCTAGTGGAGCTTTCAAAGTTAACCAATAGGCGTGAGGTAGCCGACGTCAGAAGGTATAACATCCAGAGAAATTAGCACTCTGTAAAAAGCGGCAGAAGACTGAAAGCTGCGTAGGCAAACTTGTACATAGGTAAAAATCAAGTATATGCATTAAGGAACAAAAAAAAAGCAACGCCGTAATATAGATAGGATAGTTGAGGTGGCAGAGGAGTTCTACAGAGAGCTGTATTGAAGCCAAAACAGCCAGGATAATATCATTAGAAAGAATATTAGCCCAGAGGAATTCGACTTCCTACCAGTAACGCCAGGGGAAGTAAGGAAAGCCCTAGAAGGAATGCAAAGAGGCAAAACCGTTGATGAGGATAACAGTGGACCTCCTGAAAGATGGCGGAGAAATTGTGTTAGAAAACTGGCCACCTTATATAAGAAGTGTCTCTTGACGGAAAGGGTACCTTAATCTTGGAAGAACTCTAACATCATCTTAATCAATGAGAACGAAGACGCCAAGGCCCTGAAAAATTACAGGCCAATCAGCTTACTGTGCATTCTCTATTAATAGTTTATGAAAATATCAGCTAATAGAACTCGGGCGACATTAGAGTTGCATAAGCATAAGAAAACGCAGGATTTGATAACAGCTATTTCACTATAGACCATATAATTACTATCCATCAGGTAATAAACAAATGAGCGAAATATAACCAACCCTTATACATAGTATTGATAGAAGACGAGAACACGTTTGACTCAGTCAAGACATCAGCAATAATGTAGGCACTACGGAATACGGACATCGAAAAGCGCTACATAAACATACTGGAAAAATCTACGGTTGATCCACAGCCACTATAGTTCTCCATAAAGAAAGCGAAAGAAACAGAATAAAGAAGGGTGTAAGGCAGGGAGACACGATCTCTCCAATGCTATTCACCGCGCGTTTACAGGACAGTTTCAGGACCCTAGATCGGGAAGAGTTAGGGGTAAGAGTTATTAGAGAGTATCTTAATAACGAGTGATTCGCAGATAAAATTGCCTTGATGAGTAACATCAGAGGACAAATTACAGCTCATGATTACAGAACTGAACACTCAAAGCAAAATAGTGGGCCTTAAGTTATATGCACAAAACTACAGTAGTGTAGAACAGTCTGGGCAGAAAACAGCACTTTGCTGTAGGTGGAGAGACGCTGAAAGCTGTAAAGAATGTGTCTATAATTAGGTTAGGTAGTAAGCGCGGAGCCTAACAATGAGACTGAAATACCTAGAAGAATTAGGATAGAGTGGATCACGTTCGGCAAGCATTCTGAAGTCATGAACAATAATCTGCCACAAACTCTCTAGAAGAAGGTATATAAGAGCTACATCTTGCCAGAACTTTCCTAAGGAGCAAAAACCCGGAGGGTTACAAAGAAGGTCCAGCTTGAATTGAGGGCGACACAGCGAGCGATGAAAAGGACAATAATAGGTTTAACCTTAAAAGACAAGAGGTCAGAGTGGGTCAGAGAACAAACCAGGATGAAAGATATCATAGTTAAAATCAAAGAAATGGACATGGGTCGGGCACGTAGCACGTAGGCAGGATAACCGCTGGTCTTTAAAGGTTACTGAATGGATTCTCAAAAAAGGCAAACACACGAAAGGGAGACAGAAAGTTAGGTGGACCGATGAGATTAGAAAGTTCGCAGGGATAACGTGGCAACGGAAAAAATGGGACCGGGTTGATTGGCGGATCATGGGAGAGGCCTTTGCCCTGCAGTGGGCATAAACAAGCTGATGATGATGATGATTGAGCAGTTTCTTATGGTGAATCAATCCATCAATCAATGAGCTTTATTAAGACAAAAACTTAACTTAAAGTATCAAGTATTCTGACGAGGGTCCCAAAGTTCGCGGCTGCTAAGAGCCCTCGGCTATGGTTACAATAGAATAAGACCAGTGAAAGCAGCAGTAGAACAGAAAAAAAACTAATTTGAAAGCAAATAGGCTAGAAACCATAAAAACAAAAACACAGCATATAATGAGTAAGTGTAGAAGCACCACCACACTGAAACAACTGAAAAACCAATGAATGCCTAACTAAAATAAAAAAATGAAACAACATGGCACTAAAACACACTTCATTAGTACAATATATAGCAATAAAACTGGTACACTTAAATAAGGAACTTCGCATATTTAACAAAAACGCTCTGATGAATTATTAAATGAATCAAAGAAACTTTACGTTTTAGCGATGAGGGTAAAGAGTTCCATAATACGATGGCACAGAAGTGTGAAGATGATTTACCGTAGTTAGTATGAATCATAGATAGCAGGAAGTTGTTGTTGGCCGCAAACCATGGAGTGTTAGTATTATCTAAAAGTTCATATTCAATGAAATCGGTTGAGAGCTTATATGTTACGTGTTTACACAGAAACATGTATAGAATTAATCTAAATAAGTTTCTAACAGTTAAGATATTTATTACAATGGAGGAGGCAAGTGATGTTACTGTGGCGACCACGGTTAAAAATGACGCGATGGGCTCTATTTTGTAAACGCTGTAAGGATGAAAGATGATACTGATAAGTATTACCCCATAAAGCTATACCGTAAGTGATATGAGAATGATAGAAAGTGAAATAACGACAAAGGAGTGCTTTATGAGAGATATATGAGTGAGCTCTAAGTAGTACGTGAATGCCAAATGCTCTCCTTTATCTAACGTGAGCAACTTGGAAGTTGAATTGAAGGCTTACATCGAGTAGAACACCAAGAAATGATACGCTGCCAATGATACTAATAAAATGAGAGTCAATGGTAATCATTGGAGATGAATTACCTTCCATTGAGGTGATCTAGAAACCATAAACTTAGATTTATTTCAATTAATAACTACGTGATTTTCCTTACACCACATGACCACGTTACAAGTGCAGCATTTATATTATTAGCGACACAGGTAACACAATTATCAGCAAAGGAAATGGTTGTATCGTCAGCATATAAGACGCAGTGAGCCTTGTTTAAAATGTCAGGAAGGTCATTATAGTACAATAAAAAATAAGGGACCCAGTAGTAGGCCTTGGTGAACCCTTAATTTATTGTTTTAGTCGATGAAAAGGAACCTGCTATGTATGCAATATGTTTTCTATTAACCAGTTAACTGTTTAGAGAATTAAGGGATGCACCTGTGATACAGTATGCGTCTTGCTTCTTGGACAAAATGAGATGAGAGTGGTGTCGAATGGCTTTGATAAATCTAAGAAAATGGACCCGATGATGCACCTTGAATCAATGAAGCGGTTGATTTAGTCAAAATGGAAAAGAAGGGCAAAGTTAGTTGAACTTCCAGAGTGAAAGCTAAATAAACAGGATTTCAATACATTAACTTCATTCTTCTTAAGCTGAACTATAAATAATTTTTGATGACCTTAAAGTGTGAAGAATGAATATAGATAGGGCGATAACTAGAAAGACATTCATTATCACTTTTTAAAACACCGCAAGTAGTTTGGCTATCTTTAGATAACCAGCACACTCACAGAATCACGAACGCCATCTAGACTAGCTTGGGCCTATTCTCATCCTCCTTTCCGAGTGCCTACGTCACTACACTCTTGACGGAGTTGTTTGCCTTGTTGGCGCTTTCGGGAAATGGGAAGCCGCATGAACCAGGCATATGTTTCGCATCTCTTTCAAGCAGGATTTGTAACTCGCCATTAGAAGACTAACGAGTTTGTAGCAATGGTCATTTCAGAGAACGCACCCTCCGTGCTGCCCGTTCTTTCCAAAAGACGTCACCGAGAAGTGATGAGGCCTTAGCAGGCGAAAGCCTCGGACTCCGCTAATCTGTGAAGTGTTCGAAATATTGCGCTCTTTCTTTGTGTTTGAGAAAGTGTTCGGCTCCCTTTGCAGACGTCTCCTGTTTGGACAAGTGCGAGGCCCTCGTGCCCAAACTTGCCAAGGCTGCCAAGCAGCTCGAGGAAGAAGGCTCGGACATCAAGGTGGCCAAGGTGTACGCAACTTTCAAGGGCCTGCTCGTTTGGAAGTACACGCAGAGCTTGCCGAAACTCATGTTTTTCCGCAACGGACATCCGGTCGACTACAAGGGTAGCCATACCATAGAGGAGATGATCCAGTGGGTTAAGAAGAAAACCGAACCACCGGCTCAAATACTCAGCACTGTGGACGATGCGAGGATCTTCGTGAACAGCGCGAGGGTCACCATCGTGGGCTTCTTCAAAAACCAGACAAGCCTCGAGGCCAAAGAGTTCCTAAAGGCTGCGTACACTATCGACCGGCACGCGTTTGCCATCACATCGGACGACGCCGTCTACAAGGAGCTTGGTGCCAGCAAGGACGGAGTGATGCTCTTCAAGAAGGTCAGTGCTGTACAGTGGAAGTTGGTAGCTCACCACAAGTTAGACCTACACCATGTTAGTGAACAGCGGGAGGTACCGTCGACTTACTGAGGTGCTTGTAGTGACGTCGTGGCGCGTAGGCTCTGCCCAGTGCTTAATAATTACGTCGACGACGCCATGCGCTCTTTACGAATATTCATTAGTTTTATAGTCGCCCCGCCGTGGTGGTCTAGTGGCTAAGGTACTCGGCTGCTGACCCGCAGGTCGCGGGATCAAATCATGGTTGCGGCGGCAGCATTTCCGATGGAAGCGGAAATATTGTAAGCCCGTGTGCTTTGATTTGGGCGCACGTTAAAGAATCTCAGGTGGTCCAAATTTACGGAGCCCTCCACCACGGTGTCTCTCATAATCATATCGAGGTTTTGGGACGCTAAACCCCACAAATCAATCAATTAGTTTTAAAGTCTGTGACAACATTAGAATAAACATGAAGGTGTATAGAGAGGATTGAGAGAAACGCTTATATGTGGCATCTAATATATCTGTTTTGCATCTGTTTTCAAGCTGTTTCAGCATGGATAGTTACAAACAACTAATATGAAAAATCCGTAAACCGGGGTTGCGTTGAGCCGACATTTCGACAAGATGACATGTCTGCCTCAAGGCGAGAACAGAACAGTTTTATTCTAGCCTTGAGGTAGACAAGTCCGCTTGTCGAAACGCAAACTTCTAACTTTTCTTCCTACCTTTTTTTTTTTTGAAAAGGCTACTAGTCATTTATGGTACACTCGAGGACCTTCTACTATCTTGCATCACCTCCTATTTCGGAGCCTTTTGAAAACGAAGTGACTGTGTTCTATGTACGTCTTTATTTCTATATCCAACCATAACGCACCCCCCTCGGCTACCACTATCCGTTTTAAAAGGGGCTTTAAAACTTTTTCAATTAACCATGGAATGAATTCAGTGGAAGATCTTATTGCCTCGCGAATTCAACGCCGGAGCAATTTTAGGAGTACATCCAGTGTGAGTGGAGTTACAAAGGTTTGTCGCATGCTGCAATTCCATTCTTTATTCTCTCTTCTCGACGAAAACGCTTGAAGCTAAGCAGCGATCGATGGAACGGCCACAGAAAAAGGACACAGGCGCCTTCTGACCTTGAGCACTTTTTTATTTGTTTTGTTTGAATGCGCGGCCTTGTGAGAGTGCTCGCGCACACATAGATGGATGAATCATATGATTGTACCCTGTTGATCGGGCGGTGGCTAATGCCACCAAGTCGTAATATTTAGTGAACCAAAATCTAGGTTTATTTTTTTCCCTTTCAATAGAGAGGTGGAAGACTCTTAATTTGCAGTGAAAGGTTTAATTTTCAGTCGAGCTTTGACTTTAGCCACCAATCAGATAACCTCCTTCTAGTTAATTCTAACCACTTCGTCTATTTTGCCCTCCCTGTCCCCAAACTCCAGTGCTTTGAAAAACTCTGCGCCATCATCCTGAACTATAGGGTGAAGCCCTTTAGAGAACATTATCAAGTGTTCGGCAGTTTCCTCCTCCTATCCACATGCACTGCATCCCGTGTCTACCATTTTGTATTCGGCCCGATATGTCTCGGTTCGCAATACTCCCGTCGTGGCCTCAAACAGTAGATAACTATGCCGAGTATAATCATGGATCCTTTCCTTGGCAATTTCCTGCTTAAAAGTTCGATAGATCTCTAGTGCGAACTTCTTAATCATGCCAATTTTCCACATATCGGTCTCAGGTTTCCTCACCTTCTTCTTAACCTCTAATTATTTTTGGTTTGGCTCGCTGCTGCCTTCAAAGTTTTTACCAGTCAATTTTCTGGTTCACTTCCTCCATTTCGTATGGACATTCTTCATTTACAAGTAGTTGAGTACCTTCCTAGCTCAACGCTCCTCCTCAATTTCTCTCAATCGCTTCTCGAATTTCATCTTGCTGCTAGCTTCCCTGCCCTCCACTGATGTCCATCCCATATCACCTTGTACTCCCAGATTGGGTGTATTCCAGTGAGCTCCTAAGGCAAGCCTACCTATTCCACGTTGCTTAAATTGTAATCTTGATTGAACTTCTGATCTCATGCACAAGACCACATTGCCGAACGTCAGACCAGGAACCATAACTGCTTCTATATTCCTCTCACAACATCATAACTATTGTATTTGCACAATGCCCTGTTTTTCATCAGCGCTGCATTCTTGTTACCTTTAGTCGTCACGTATATTTCGTGTTGCCTAAGGTACTCGGCCTCAATGCTTATCTATACGCCCAGATATTTGTATTTATCTGTTATCTCTAGCGTGACCTATTGTATGCGAAGCTCACTACCTTCATTATCATTAAAAATCATGACTGCTGAATTTTCCTTGCTGAATCTGAAATCTAACCTATCTCCCTCATTACCGCAGATGTCCACAAATCTCTGCAAATCTTCCTTGTTGTCGGCCATTAGCACTATATCATCTGCGTACATCAATGCTGGTAGTGCCTGTTCAATGAGTTTTCCTTGTTCAGCGAAAAAGAGGTTGAAGCCCAGGCCATTTTCTTCTAATTTGGCCTCTGATCCTTGTAGGTACATCATGAATAACAAGGGTGACAGAAGACACTTCTGCCTAAGCCCCTAGTTTACCTCTGCAGGCTTGGATACCTGTTTTTCCCACTTTATAACTGTCTTGTTACCTTTATAGGTATCCTTTAAAAGATTAGTGACTCCATCGTCTACACCTAATGTGCCCAGTATTCCCCACAAGTCCTCTTGAACCACGCTACCGTACGCTTCCTTGATATCTAAAAATGCTAGCCACAAGGGCCTGTGTTGCTTTTCTGCTATTTTGATGCACTGCGTCAGTGAGAACAGATTGTCTTCCAACCTCCTGTATTTCCTAAACCCATTCTGCAGTTTCCCCAGCACCCCGTCATCCTCTATTCATGCCTGCAGTCTTTCCTTAATAATCTGCATCACCAGCCTGTAGACCACTGATGTCACTTTTATAGGACGGTAGTTGTTTATGTCAGCTTTGTCCCCCTCTCCTTTATAGTTCATGCTCATCCTGTTAAGTTTCCATCCATCGGGAGCTTTTCCATCGATTATTATTTTCCTCACTGCCTCTCTCAAAGCCTGCTTAGACTTCTGACCTCATGTCTTTATCAGCATAATTGGAATGCCATCCGGGCCTGTTGACATACTACTAGGAACCCTTTTCTCACCCCTTTCCCACTCTCGTGAAAATGGAGCCATTGCGCCACTTGATTCATCCTTGTCTATTGTGGTGCATAAAGCACTTGTTTGTTGAAATTTTTCTGTCACCCTTGTTCTTATATATTCAATAGCTTCGTCCTCTTCTAACCTAGCACCTTGAGCTGCAGTTACAAATCTCTGCTCTAGGCTCGTCTACTTTCTTAGGGAGTTTAGATGGTTCCAAAATTTCGCAGCTGCTTTTCTATTTTTTGTGTACTTCTGCCAGCCACTGAGCTCCCGTTCTTCTAATCTTTTCATTGATCAGAAGAGATGCATTCCTTCTACAGCTTAGAAAGAGTTCCCATTTTCTTTCAACATCATCTGTTGGTTCACCCCGCTGCTTAGCATGTCTGTGTTCTCTAGAGGCTTCCTGACGTTTTGCTATGGCTCTCTTAACTCACTCATCCCACCAACTCTTGATTTGTGTCTTCTTTTCCGGGGTGACTTGTCACATGCCTTAGCAAGCTCTTGCTCAAACAGTCTAATTAGATTTGTATATGTCCACACTGTTTTATTATCCTCAGTGAGTACTTTCTAGATTTGTTTAGTAGCTCTTTCTGTTTGCCTTTATGAATAAAAATTTTGCTGTAGTTCATCTTCTTTCACCTTCCCACCTTCCCTGCTCTTCCAAAACTGGACTTGATACGTTCGTAATCACTACCCAGACTTCTCGAGCCACCTTCACCTGAGCTTATCATACATCCTATGTGACACCACTGCATAATCTATCGTCGACTGCAGCCTTCCTACCTCACATGTTATTTGCTTGTCACACTTCCCGAATGTGTTGCAAATAATCAAATCATGCCTTTCACACATATCCATGATCATTTTGCCTGTTGGGTCAGTATACCCATCTATATCTTCTATGTGCGCATTCATATCTCTAAGTATAATTATCTCGCACTCTCTTCATAACTCCTCAACATCCTTTGATATACGTTCTACTATTGCCTGGTCTTCTCTCTTGCCTTTGCTCCCGTGCCAAAGTACACTAAACCAAGGAGTTTCCTTAGCCCTGCCACCTTATCTTTTAGCCATAAATATTCCTTGCACACCTGCTTGGCCCTTTCCCAGTCGGTACTTTAATGAATGAATGCCCCAATACCACCCCCCTTTCTGCTGCATTCTCTTCTATTACAATATTCCCACGCGTAGTCCGGATTGTTAGGAGGTTCTTCCATGTCCTTGAGATATGTTTCTACCAAACCGTATACCAATGGCCTCTCCTCCCTTAGCTGTTCTTCTATCTCTTCCCATTTCAGCCTGCTCCTGCCACCCTGCATGTTGATATACCCTCTGTCTGAATTGGCTCGGCGCTCGTGGCTACGTGTATTTCTTCCCTGGACTTTACCTATTTTAGATACTGGTGCCACTTTGTAATCGTATCTGTCCATTCCACCTGGAGTAACACCTGGAATCAACCGGACTCACAGGGATAAATCCCTGCCACTTAAGTCCGGTCCAATACGATACACGTCGTCAAAGGAAGAAAACCACTCAAGACATAAATGAGTAACGAGCACTGAGCCCTTGGCGAATTTGACAAACGGTTACAGGGCCGGGCTCACACTCAGATCTACTGGACTCGAAGACATCCACAAAGAAAATGACATCAAGGACAAAATTGTTTTATATTCGACCCCATTGTAGAGGTTGACATCTCATCTTAGCCATTGGAGGTCACCGTATCTAAATATCCTCCAGAACAATACCTCAATGAGGGGTTCGCTCCTACAAACCAAACCAAATCGACAAACAA